ATAACACATAATACATAATACATAATACAGAATACATAATATAAAACATATAATATATAATTCATAATACATAGTACATAAAACATAAAACATAATATAGAATTCATAATACATAATTAATACATAATACATAATGCATAACACAGAATACGTAATACATAATACATAATACATAATATATAATGTATAATATATATTATATAATGTATAATGTATAGTATATAATAGGTAATGTGTAATGTAATGTGTATTATGTAATATGTATATATATATATATATATATGCACATACATACATACATATATATACACACACGTTGATCTTCACTATCGTGTGTATATAATATATATATATATATTTATTTATATTTATTGATTTTTACTTATTTGTCTAATTTAATTATTTATTTATACGCATAGGACCCGCAGGACCAGGCGGACAGACAAGCAGACCAGAGGACCAGAGGACCAGGGGACCACAAGACCAGGGGACCACGGGACCAGAGGACCACGGGACCAGAGGACCACGGGACCAGAGGACCACGGGACCAGAGGACCACGGGACCAGAGGACCACGGGACCAGAGGACCACGGGACCAGAGGACCACGGGACCAGAGGACCACGGGACCAGAGGACCACGCAGGTGGGCCGGATGGCTTATTTTTTTTTTTGATGCCTATTATTTTTTTTATTGATCCCTATTAATTTTCTTTTTGATGCTTATTATTTTTTTTTTTGATGCCTATGCCCTAACTTTGTTAGGGCGTTCTAATTTGCTACACATGCCTCCTAACCCATTGCTGAAGCCTTTGCAGCTGTATGACATCTAACTTCGCTCTGCTCAATCTTTCCGATGCTGGTCAGCTCTGGCTTGGCAACGGCTTCCACCCCTACGTCAAGGCCGAGTGAAACCAGTTCAGTGGTTGGCTCACACTGACATTCGTCCTCACTTGGCATGTCGTTCCGGAACATACTGCTTCCCTCCGAGAGGCGCCAGGCGCCAATGCAAACGTTTGCTGAGGTTCGGTTGCTCACCGGAGTCGTTCTCTGATGTTCTATGTCTTTCCACTGCTCCCGTGGCAAAACGAGACCTGTGGTTCGAAACTGACACCTCGGTAACATCTGGTCCCTGGTTTAAGTAAACTTTTCTGCCTGCTCAGGATACAATCGCAGGCCATGTAGCTGGACAGATGAAGCTCACCAGTAAGCTGGCTGGCCACGGATCTCACTGCACATCCTCACGGACGACTCTACACTGCACACAGAACCTAGAACAACACCCCTGACCCTGTTGCCTGACACGGGCAGCTCTGCAGCAGAGCGGCCCAAATCTCGTTGCGAGGGCCCGCATCCTTGAGAAACGGCACGCCATTCGCGGTTGCGCGTTTCTTTCACTCCCGGATGGCCGAGCAAACCCGGCTACAGGGTGGCACGTTTTGGGATCGGTGGTTTAGAGCTATGTGGAATTCCAGATCTCCCATGTCACTAGAACATGCAGCCTAGCCTGCTCCTGCACTGCCAGCCTGGAAGGTACTTGAAGCCCTCTGCCTTTTGTTTATCAATGGTCGCGATGCGACCGCCGGCACCTCAATTGAGGCCCCCCCTCGACCGAACATTCTCGAGCGTACACATGCTGGAAGCCCATCTTTACCCCTTAAGATTTTAGGGCTTTGAAATCACCACCACCACCCACACCGCCTTTAGCCATTTGCATTGGCTTATCTCGTCGCCAGCCCAGCTCTGTCTGCTCTGCAATCGATAATCTAAGCCTTAAATATCCCCTCAACCTCCAACTTCATAAGGCCTGCCTGATCATGAGGCTGAATACCTAGACAAGACTTCCTGCAACAAGCCCAAGGATTACACTCTCAACCTCATGCTTTATACCCCTTGTCGGTGCCAAAGAGGCCACGTAGATGCAACCGCTTGCAATCTCGTCGTTGCCAGGGCCTTGAAGGACATCACAAACCCGCATGGCCAAGACTATGATGCCTCGTGCCCCGAGTTCCCAAATGGGGCCTGCAGGGCCCAACCGCATCACGTAGGCCTGCCGAACTGGTTTGTGGCAGCAATCATGCATGCACAAAGGTGTTGGTATGGGACCGTGGAAGGACTGACGCTACTCTCAAAACCCCAGGGTCGAATCCATGAATGGCAAGCTTCTGCCGTTTGATCTATGAAGGGGTGTCATCGATACTGGCATAGATTTATCAATGTTGGTGAAGTTTACGCCAGAGGCCACAAAAGCAGGCCTGGTTCTCCAATACCTGGGAAGTCCTGGTGCAGTGTAGGGAATTTCCTTACCGAGGTCCGTGCTTCTTGAGCTTCTGAAGGGGTCCAGGTGTAGGATCGTAGGGAAGATTGGGGACAGCAGGATTTGAGGACTCGAGGGCTTTTCAGCGCAAGAGCAAAGTGAGAGCAGAAGGCTCTCCTGCCATGAGAAGCCCGCAAACCAAAGGCAACAAAACCTACACCAAGCAAGCGAAAGATCACTCCAAAGACTTTGAAACCCCCAGTGTTCGAACCCAGGATCGAATGAAACCTGAAAGTTCCAAAGCATGAGACTGCTGCAGACTTCGGCTTGGGAAGTTTAGGGGGTTCAGGGTGCCAGGCCCGCCGTGGGGCAGGTATGCCCAAGTTGCATTGCAGCACAGGAACGTGAGAAGCCGGAAGCCGCCACACCCACCAATCACGGTCTGCTATTTTACATGCAGACCTGATTGTCATCACCCCCCCCCCCCCCCCCCCCCCCGCCTCACCTCACTACGGATATACATCGCACCGCTCTCCCGCCTCAGGTTGTGGAGGTCGCCTGCGTAGTGGGCTACCAAAGTGTCGGCCTCGGGTTTTCCAGGGCGTAGTGGGATGGCGAGAGGGTTCAGGGTGCTTATTTTTACGGATTTGACTCTCGCACTAGCAGGTGCGGAAGAGGATCCTGGTACTGAGCTCGAGTGAACAGTGGCACTCACAAAGGTTCAGGGGGCCCACTTTCGCGCTGAGGCGGAGCAAAAAACAAACAACTCCCAGACTTCCAGCACTCGGGGTTTCAACCGCGAAGCCATCATTCCAATGGCCCGGTCATTTCGCAAAACACCGGAGATCATGCGGGCGAATCTCCGCATGGAGATCGCTGGGTGACGTTCGTGCTAACTGCTGGCTTGACTGAACTTCATTCCAGCGCGAAACGGCGGACAAAGCGAGGCACGAGAAACACATTCGAAGGTCCAGTTCGCGGGTAGCTCCAATCGTTGGAGGTCGCACGAGCAGGCCTTTCGTCGTGCGTTGAAGTGGCAAATCCGTGTTCGGTGCTCCGAACATTTCCGTTGATGGGCAAAACACAGAACCAACCTTGCAGAGGTAAGTTAGAACAAATATATATATATATATATATATATATACATACATACATACATACATACATACATACATACATACATACATACATACATACATCTGTGTGTGTATGTGTATATATACATATACACACACACGTATATATATATATATATGCCTGATTCACATATTTGCATTAAACATTGCATACTGTATATTCCTTTGTAGAAACGTGCAGAAGCCCTTGCCTGGAGTTCCCGCGCCGCAAAGAGCCCGAGACCGGCGCCCGCCAGGCGGGACGCCTGCTTCATTGTCCCTTCTTTTTGAGGGTCTTGAAGGGTCGTTTATTCTTTTTTTTTTTTGGGGGGTGGGGGGGGGGGGGGGGGGAGGAAGGAGGGGGGTTATCATTCCTTCTTTGAGGGCTTGGGTCAGTTGTTTTTTTGTTGGGGGGGGGGGGGGGGGTTAGGTTGTTTTTTTTTTTGCTCGGGGGGGGGGGGGGGGTGGGTGGGTGGGTTAGGTTGGTTTTGGCTTAGGGGAATAACGGTGTAGTGGGTAAGGAGGCTTGCAGGCCAGTTTGTCTGACGGGGTCTTTTTCGGATGACAACGGTTTGCTCAACCTCTTTGTGCACAGCACCGTTTCTGCGGGGAATGCGTTTATGTTTCAAGCAACCCGGGCACGGAGTTTGCCACGGGCAGGGGCTCATTGCGTTAAGATTTGGGGAGGTTCCAGTCTAGAGCATGTACGAGTACTGCACACGAAATCAGGGTCTACTCTGATTGAAGATTCTTCGGTGGACTGTGGGTGTGGCAAGTATTAGACTTGGGATTCTGACCCAAGTGTCTGGTCTCTGCTGCGGCCTGAGTGCAGAGGCCGGAAATTGATAGTCCGAACAAGCGTGTCTGTCGAGCGCAAGCTTGCCAAATCCCCTACCACTACACGGAAAAAAACCAAGGCCTAACGCCCTGAAGTTCAAGCCCTCAGATGCTCCAAACCTTGATCTACTACGTGCTTTCGACCCCCCCCCCAAAAAAAAAAAAAAGACACCTAAACAAATATTTGCTTTCGGGGTTCTTAAGCAGCTAGTAGTAATTAAAGCGCACGGCCACCTCGATGCAAAGGTGCTCCGTGCACTGGGGCGGCAGCGCAGCACCAAGCTCACCGCGAACATCCCGGCACCTTCAGACTCAAGACAGCCCGGCGTGTGGAATTGCATGGCTTTCAGGACACATCATACGCATTCTGAAGCCTCGCGAGCAGGGGCTTGGGCGTTGGAATGGTTTGAGGGTTTCAGGTGGTTTCTGTTGCTGTTGGGCCTCGTCAGGAGGTGGCCTGGCAGGTCGGCCAAAAACTGGCCCTGGCTGTGAACCCGAAGGCCCAAACTCGTATAAAACCTTGGCTCTTCTTCTCGTGGGTATGAAGGGGCCCTGGCGGACTCCTCCGCACCGCGAGCTCACCCGAGTTCGTAAAACCTTGCTCTTCTTCTTCTTCTTCTCTCTCGCTCTCGCTCTCTCTGTCCCGCTCTTCTTCTGCTTCTTATTTGAGATCTTGGGAACGAGACCCTGCCGTGCATTCAAAAATCTAACAGATCTTGGGAGCTTTGACCCCAAGACCTATATCGAAGAATCCCAGAGCTCATGTCCTGAATCTTCTATCCGGAAAGGCTACAGACAGAACTGTCAACTACAGGTGTATCTCCCAAGCCAACTGAATCCTCAGCCCGGGCAATTCTGGCCCGTCCTCTGGCGAAGGCGCGCCAAGTCGTCCGGGCAGCTTAACAGATCTGTGTCCTGCCAGAAACATGTCCTAGACAACCAGTGAGGTTGGGGGCTTTGGTAAGTTTGGGCTTAGGGGATGGGATATTCCGTGTTCAAAAACACATGACATCTCAATAGATCGCCTTAAGTTTCCCCAACGCGATTGGCATTGTAGGTCCTCCCCCTTTACCGAATGTCGTTTCTGCAGACAGCTGTGCAGCGTGCGACGTTGAACAAATAAAGGCTGATCGGCTGCACTTGCCGCAACAATGCCCTCCCAAGCGCATGCACATGTATGTCCCCACTGCTTGTGGGCTGCTCGTAGCCTTAGTTTAAGCAGCGTTGTGAGAGGCGAAGCTAAATGTCGCGTGTAATCGTATAGTACAGCCCGACTGAAGCGAAACGACGCCGGGGCCACAGAGGTTCGAGTACTGTTCGGAACCCTCGCAGCATAAGCCAAGGTCGACCCGCCAAAGCCTTCAAACCCATCAGGCCGTGAGGGGTGTGATTCAGATCTTACGTACGGTCGCACTTGCAATAAGGACGTCCAAACATCTTCACCTGAGCATAAACCGCAAGCCACCACGTGCAGCATTTGGATGCCCCCACCTGCCTCTTCAAAGCAGTCTTCCTCCGAGGGGGTTAAGGCCAACTCCAGCCATGCTTCAAGCCTCAACACAATGAGCCCATACAAGTTCCACGCGCAACGTCGCACGAACCCACTACCCCAGCAATTGGCAGTTCTAAGCCGACAAGCCTTCCCAGCCCTGAGAGCACAACGCCTCAGCAGGCGTTCATAAAGGCGGCAGTAGCGGGCATCATGCAGAGGCTCAATGGCAAACATGCCAATCACTGCTGTGTCTGCGGGCTCCAGATCATTGGCTTGGAGGGGATCGTTTACAGGCGGCCAAGAGTCCTTGCGAGCAGACATTTTTGAATATACTTGCAGAAGAAAGATCTGGATATTGGCTTTGCAAATGCATGACGCAATCTTCAAGCCCAAACTGCTTTTTGCAAAGCGAAAGGCTTTTGTGTTGCTGCAAGCGTTTGGCGATCCTTCCTTTAACAGCTGGAGCCAAAAGCAGAGTGGTGAGCCAAGAGCTCAAGATCAATCCAGATAAGGCATGCGCATTGAAGCTCGCTATGCTCTCAGGCCCTTGTTCAGGTACCCCGGAACTCTTTGAAACGGCTTTGGGTCGGGCTGTAGATGATTCAATATGCTTCGTCTGCTTCTCTGAGGGGGGCCCACAGGGTGCTGCGAAGAATGTCTGAGCTTGGGATTCCCTAAGCTTCTGAAGCCCTTCGGTGCACAAATGCCCCTTGATTTTTTGCCCGGAAGGCTACATACAACCAATCGGAGCGCCTGAGCCATGGCGCATGCACCGGATTAAAAGTCTCTCAGCTGCGAAGGAAAAGCAGCCGTTCTTATGCACACGGGTTCCGGTTTGCTCTCGGATTCTCGAAACTCGGCTCATCCTATGGCGAAGAATCGAGGAGGGGAAGATCTCGTGGCATCCTCCGAGATGCCAGCCTGGGTGTTAAGATTGGAGTCAGGGCGGCAGTTGAGGGTCGAAGGAGGATGGTGAAGGGAAAAGTTACCGTTCTACGAAACAGGATGCTTGGCATGCTTCCCCCAGAATCTTTCAGGGATTCTCACGGCCCTTCTTCCCTTGATGCAGATCCCTTCTTCCCACTTTCGAGGCACATGTCAAACCGCTGGAGGGCCACGAAGCCTGGTCCTCAAACCCAGCCCCGAACCTCAGAGCCCTATAGCCCTTTCACTCCAACTACATCTCTGGACTCTTTTGGGCCTCAAGAGGACCTTCTGAAGCCGAAGCCCAGAAGGCAGCTCCCTTCGGAGAGCCATACCTCCTTCTGGCTTTACCTCTCCAAACTCCACCTCCTACTCAGAACTGCTCAGAATGAGCCCCCAAAGTGCAAAACCGGACTTGCAGCTTGGTAAGATCCAGGTCCCCTGCTTGTTAACCTTGTCCAAGCTGTCTTGCAAGTCTTGCCTCGGAAGCCCCATGACAGAGTGCTGGCGGTCGTCTTCTCAATATGTTTTTTTTTGCTTCGGCGGCTGAGCAAGAAGGCTGCGTGTGAGCACTGCATGGCGGACACGGCTGTATCTTGACTGCTGGATGGGCGTTGGCACAACCTGCCTTCTGGCCTCTGAAGCGCTGTGAACTGAAAGTCCCACTTTGCGCGAAGTCCGCTGCCGAGTCTTGCTGTTCCATCGGTATTCCTTCTTAACTATACGAACTGTTTTTGTTCTCATCTACTGCAGCTGCCAATAATGCTCATGCGAAACGACCCTTTCTGAGAGGAGCTTTCGGAAGTGTGGGTTTGGAAGTCATTGCCTGCCTAGCCGCGGAATGACAAAGTTTGCGCAAGTTGTGTTGTCATTTTTTCTTGCAGGCCGCGACTCAGAAAAAGAACGTCGAGCAACGCTTGTCGCTCGGCGTGTGGGGCACGGTCTCCTTCCGCGAATATCGGATGCAGGTCTGGTCTGCCATGTCCCCCGCCACTCGGAGCGTGTCGGCGGAAGCCTTAGCTGCGCACGACGTAGCTGAGTGACATTCGTCACTTCAGGAACACTCTCTCACGTACACAAGCCGGCCAAATGAGCAAAAGCTATGCTATGCCGGTTACGCCAAGGTAAACTTGATGCTTGAAGCCAATTGCAAAGGCGAGGGGCCCAGCGAGCGAACAAGATGGCCTTCCTCGCCTTCGTCTACACCAGCTAAGCAGGCCGCAGCCCAGCAGGCCACGCGCCCAGCAGTGACAGCCAACCTCAGAGCGAGAAAAAACCACGGCCTACATGGGCCTTGTGCATCATCGGCGCACAAAAATCAACAATAATCATAATGATCCCAATCATATTAATAATAATAATAACAAGAATTAAAATTACAATAAAATATGGTGCGTGCTTTAGCTGGAGCTTAGGGGCAGATCGGTGAGTGCTCCGGAATGCCTGCGAGCCGGGCCCTTTGCCAGCGGCAGCCAGCTGCGGGGGCCCCATGCAAAGCCAGAGCATGACTCGAGCATCCAAGGGGCAAGCATCGGGGATCGAGCAAGCACCTGGATCACGGACCTGGCAAAAATCATTTAAGATGATAAGGCCTTTCAATCCGCTCGGATCCAGGCGTAATTCATCATGGCTCCCCACGTCCCAGAAGTCTACTTCTCAAGTTGCATCCGTCTGCTTTCCGCTGTTTCAAATCTCCGTCCTGTTGGGAGGAAGCCGAGACAGTTCTGCCAGCGCGCGGTGCGTTCTCGAGAGAATCTGCCGCCTGAGGAAAGCATCGAATTCCGCTGTGGCAGCCTTGTCCAGGGGGTGTCGACACAGAGCGAGAGCTTCACACACTGTTGAGGAATGTCAAGGTGAAGATAACATGGGTCCTGAGAAGTCCTCGAGCAAAATGTGGGGTTGTCTTGCGGGGGGGGGAGGGGGAATTTATCTGAGCAGGGGACCAGGCTTGACAAAACCAACGGCTGGCCATACCGTAGCATTGAGGAAAGAAGCTAGATCCGCCCCCCCCCCCCCCCCCCCCCCGCCCACAACACCAAACAAAAAGCCTTCTTCATGCCTGCTCCTCCCAAAGTAGTTCGGCTGCTCCCAGCGCAGCGCGGAAAGCTACGCGAGGGCTGCGTGGGGTGGCAGCCAGGGAAGGAGGAGCTGCCTTGGTGAGCTCAAGGTTCTACAGCCCCGCGAAACAACATCCATCTACAACATCGGGGGGGGGGGGGGGGGGAGGGTCGGTAATAACCATATGAATACAAATAAGATATTACCATGTCAGCTTCGGCCAGCATGCAGACCCACTCTCACTCCCCGCAGTCCATACACACAGCCCTGAGAGACAAGCCGTGGCTTTGGCGATGCGTCGCCGTTGCTCAGGACTTCCAGAGGCTTCGGGTTCTTGCCAGCTCACCATCCCCAGGTGACCTGACAGTGACCGCTGGAAGCCTTTCTGTTGATGGCCATTCTTTGTGCGAGCTCAGCTAAGGCCGCTTGCTCTACGGCTCATGGAGCCAAGTTGTTCAAAACACCTCAAGAACGAGGCACAATTAGTTTAGCTCCACTGTGCAGCGTGCCACTTCGACTCAGCGAAAAAACGTACCGAGGCAAACATGTCGGTAAGGCAGCAGCTCAACGGGATAAGCGGGCCAAAAAACATCGAAAAGCTGAGAAGACCCTCTCTCTCTCTCTCTTACAAAAAAAACGGTTTCTTCTCAGAAAAGTGTAGCAAAAACGCAAAAAAACTGTTTGAGAGGCCGATTCCTGTGCCGACTCTGCAGCGCAGCGGCTCGAAGCCTCGGCCTCGCTCCGTACTGCCACCAGCCACTCCTCTCAGCTAAAATCTCTCTCTTCTCCGGGATTCTTAGCTTGGGATCCCCTGGATATAGGCTAACAGT